TAGTTTAATAGTTAGTATAGGTCTAAGTATGCCTATAATATAGGCTACAATTTGTATGATGATAGACCTAGGGGTCTAGAAATAAAGTTATAGCTGCAATTAGACCTAAAGTCTAATACAATTAGTTGGTGCAAGATATTATTGCGTCAGCGAGGTCACGTGACCAGTATCACTCCACGTCCTTCTCGAACCTTCATGAATTATCGGGAGACTACTAGATTGGGGGTAGTCTGGTATATATAAGACGCTCACAACCTGACGGAACAAGGAGGTAATGAGTAATTGAATGTATACGGACAAAATATTGTTGGCCACGTGAGACGTGAGTTATAGCGTTGTTATAGAGCGACTGTTGAAATTAAGTGTATCGACTGTTGAAATTAAGTGTATCGTAAAGTTGTATTCGGAAAGAATAACCCAGTTTTATTTAAGAAAGGACTTGTGTCGCTAAAGTTTCGTTGGAACGAATTTACGGAAAATTAACGAAGGAACGGAGACGTAACAACATGATTTACAATCAGCCAATACAATTACAAACCACTACATTAGGCCTATAATGTTTACTGGAACTAGATCTAGGCCTTGCCCGTTGCATACATTGCCAATTTTGCACACCAGTTAATATGTTACATCAATCTCGTATTTTCTTTTTGTTGAACATACACTTACTTGTACGTTGTACTCTAGGACTTGTATTTGATCTACAGATGAATGATGGAATAGTGTAATCTACTTCTGTATGTCAATTCGGTCTCACTGTGTTTCAGTGGGCGGCTTTTAAAAGTTAAAACTGCAAGCGTAATACACACAAATAATGTAACACTGTGTCGTATTTACTTAACGTAGGGCAGTTGCGCTATATCCTAGGGGAGAGCATAATTATTAATTATCGGCATTATAGGCCAGAGGAAATTTTGCGCCCCTTCACACCTGCGCCCGGGGGCGACTGCCCCCTCTTTCTACGCCACTGCTTCGGTATGCTATATTTCATAATAGTTGCTAATATAATAAATTTGGGATTTTTTACCGAAATAGTCCTGATAAAATATTTTTATTGTTTTAGATTAAACATGTCCCATAGTCAGCCACATTACATAATCATGTTATTGTTTTAGATTAAACATGTCCCATAGTCAGCCACATTACATAATCATGTTATTGTTTTAGATTAAACATGTCCCATAATCAGCCACATTACATAATCATGTTATTGTTTTAGATTAAACATGTCCCATAGTCAGCCACATTATATAATCATGTTACCACGTTAAGACTTTGAATCAATAGATATAGTTTTATGTAAATGACAAAACATAAAAATTTAACTCGTACAATTCTAAGAAAACTTGTTTAATTTAAATGTTTCTGAATTGTCCTTAACAATTGCCGAGATTCAAGCTTTAATGAGAAATCTTGGAAATACTTTGAAGAATTTTCTTTTTTGACTGCGACATTGATTTTCTGTGCGAGAAAGATAACTATAGATTTTTTTTTGTCTATCTTCCTGCCATCCTCACCTGGGAGTCTTCACATGTGAATACACTATCAAATGCGAATATCTTGTGAGCAGACAGGCGGAAATCTTGAGAGTTGCTTGGGTCGTACAGCGTCACGTGTTTTTTCCTGACGTCCACCGTTAAGAATTGACTGGATTTACTTCCTTCATCTTCACCACTGATGCGAAGGAGAACTTTGACCTGCAGATTTTAGTAACATATGTTTTATCAGGTTCTCACTCATTGCTAGGAGACTGAATGGTCAATATTTTTCTACTCAGAATTTTTGTTATCGCAGTTACGAAACAAGTGCATAATATTGTATAAAAATAGCGCTACGTTGTTTCCTACCAGTTATAAAGCATTTTTCCTCTTTATTTAAATTTCAAAAACAAGTATCTAATCTCAACAGATTAAAAACTACAAAAACCTTATCGATTCCATAATCAAGGTAGATAATTATGTGACGTAAACACTTTATACGAAGATGTGCTATCCATATTAAGTTAGAAGGAAACACTCGAAAGATAGTGATGTATTGTATTGGATGATTAACATCAAAGTTTACATTTGGAATACTGTGGTGAGGTGAAGTGATTTGATGAAATACTATGATAAGATAATATGTTGGAATAGCGGGGGAGGTGGTTTGTTGGAATACTGGGGTGAGGTGAATTGTTGGAATACTGGAGTGAGGGGAATTATTGGAATACTGGGGTATAGTGAATTGTTGGAATACTGGGGTGAGGTGAATTGTTGGAAAACTGAAGTGAGGGGAATTGTTGGAATACTGTTGTGAGGTGAAGTGATTTGATGAAATACTGGGGTAAGGTGATATGTTGGAATAGCGGGGGAGGTGGTTTGTTGGAATACTGGAGTGAGGTGAATTGTTGGAATACTGGAGTGAGGTGAATTGTTGGAATAGTGGGGTGAGATGAACTGTTGGAAAACTGAAGTGAGGGGAATTGTTGGAATACTGGAGTGAGGTGAACTGTTGGAATACTGGTGTGAGCTGATTTGTTGGAATTCTGCGGTGAAGTGATTTGATGAAATACCGGGGTAAGGTGATATGTTGGAATAGCGGCGGAGGTGGTTTGTTGGAATACTGGGGTGAGGTAATTTGTTGGAATATTGGGGAGGTGGTTTGTTGGAATACTGGGGTGAGGTGATTTGTTGGAATAGTGGGGGAGGTGGTTTGTTGAAATACTGGGATGAGGTGATTGTTGGAATAGTGGGGGAGGTGATTTGTTGGAATATTGGGGAGGTGGTTTGTTGGAATACTGGAGTGAGGTGATTTGTTGGAATAGTGGATGAGGTGATTTGTTGAAATACTAGGTTGAGGTGATTTGTTGGAATACTGGGGTGAGGTGATTTGTTGGAATAGTGGGGGAGGTGGTTTGTTGAAATACTGGGATGAGATGATTTGTTGGAATTCTGGGGTGAGGTGATTTGTTGAAATACTAGGTTGAGGTGATTTGTTAGAATACTGGGGTGAGGTGATTTGTTGGAATAGTGGGGTGAGGTGATTTGTTGGAATAGTGGGAGAGGTGATTTGTTGGAATACTAGGTTGAGGTGATTTGTTGGAATTCTGGGGTGAGGTGATTTGTTGGAATACTAGGTTGAGGTGATTTGTTGGAATACTGGAGTGAAGCGATTTGTTGGAATTTGGTGTGGGGTGATTTGTTTTCAATTATACGAAATATAATTTGTTGTAAAGTGCAATTGAAGAAAATTAAAAAAAAATAGTAATATGTCTCTGGTGATCTTTTTTCCTAGTGATGTTTTACCAGAAATCTTAGCTTAATCACTATGAAAAGTATTTATTTAGGAGTGCCGTTAACAGTTAAAAACAAAATTAGAATAGAATTTCAAACCAGCAACGTATGAAGTTACCAATTCTTAAGGGAAGAAACAACGTCATATACATTGGTTCTGCAGAGGTGATCCACCTGTTATGGAAGGACCCACTGAGGTGTGAGGAGTAAAGGTGTTTAAGATCTGGAGACGAATAGCACCTCTAACGGGGCGAAGTACCAATCCGTAGAGTGATTGTCACTAAAGCATGACCAGTGAACTAACTGTACCCTAGAAGTACCAGCCGCAACGAAGGGCGATATCAAAGATTATACACCTAATTATCCTCCCATAACCCCGCAACGTAATAAATAAACGAGGTCGAATGGTTGTGGAAGACATGTTAAATCTGTTAAATGTCTGGAAAAAAGAACAAATCGTATATAATATGTCTTTCTATTTAAGAAAGGGATAATTGTGAACTCGATTGAACAGATACCAGTATTACCACTATCATAACTGAACTCAACTAATATTTGACCTGTGTTTTTTTTTGTTTTTTAATTTCGCGCAAAGCTACACGAGAGCTATCTGCGCTAGTCGTCCCTAATTTAGCAGTGTAAGACTAGAGGGAAGGCAGCTAGTCATCAACCACCGCCAACTCTTGGGCTACTCTTTTACCAACGAATAGTGAGATCGACCGTCACATTATAACGCTCCCACGGCTGAAAGGGCGAGCATGTTTGGTGTGACGGGGATTCGAACCTGCGACCCTCAAATTACGAGTCAAGCGCCTTAACTACCTGGCCATGCAGGGCCGTTGACCTTGTGTAAGAATGTAAAAGAAACACATTCAGATTACGTGTTTCGGTTTGGTAATGTTAATACTTATCTAGGTGTGGGAAGAATTTTTATAATTTTCTGCTTTTTATCACTCATTGCTTCTGTTTTTAACACTAAATTTTAATAAATTATACAGTTGCGCAGTTTACAACTTAATAAGAAAACTCAAAGATTATGCTCCTGAATAAGTGTATTACTTACGAGCTATGACTAGCCACAAAGTTTGCAGACATAATGATCCCAAAATTATGAAGTTTTGTTTCAATTTTAATGTTACCAGTTAATGGATAAGCATCCACATTAAGGTAATTATATTTTAAGAATGTTTTCGAAAAGCTATACAGGGGCTGTCTGCGCATAATCATCATAAATTTAAAACTTATAACCAAAGGGAAGGCATCTAGTCAACATCATTCACTCTTGTCAGTCCGAATATCTGGACTTGATTGTCACTCTTAAAATTCACTCGTAGCCCCAATACTGTTTGAGCACAACACTTAAAATTCACTCACAGCCCCAATAGAGCTTGAGCTCGACAGTTTTTTTTCTTACGGTAAAAGGGGAAGCAAGCCATGAAATCTCAGATCGACAGTCTCACGTTAACCATTTATTACGACAGCGGAAGTCACGCGACGTTGGTAAGACGTAATGAGTATTTCGAACGTTCCTGAAGGCTCGAGTGTTCGCCAGACGCCCTCTATTTTGTATATATAAGACCGGCGAGAAGTGACGGCATAAATAATTGAATAGCAGACAGGGAGATAGAGACAGATAATCGAGTCAAGCCGTAAGTAAAGTGTGTAAATCATTGTGAATTATAGCGTGTGTTTAAGTTAAAGTGACTGTGGAAATTAAATGTATTGCAAAGTTGTATTGAGAAAGAATAAACTAGTTTTATTTAAGGAAGGACTTGTATCGCTGAACTTCCTCGGGAAGAATTTTTGCGGGAAATTATCAAACGAACAGAGACGTAACACATTGTTCTGTGCTAGGCCTCTTTCTTAGCAAGCAGGCGACTCAAGTGCTCAGGAAGTTGAAGATTCTAGATACAGTGTCTAACTGACAGTTATTGTAAATATGTATGTAACTTGCGAGTAACGAAACAAAATATTTTCACAGTAATAATTTCGGAAAGACTGAATGACGTAAGCCATCTGAATATTTTGAGATGCTTTGAAACTTACGGAATATTAAAACAATATCTTGAAGTTTCAAATCATAAAACATAAAAACAATACCTTTCCAAGTCTACAACTTTCTCTCTTGGGATTAGTTTTCAAAAAGTTTGGAGGTAATATCGGCGGTGCAATCCTCAAAGTCTGTGCAAAACTTGTTCTGAAACTAGATATCATTTCTTTGTCGGCCAAGTGATGCTTCTTTCGTTTTCTGGGCGATTGTAAGTTCAATCTTTGTGCTGCCCTAAATGATAAATATAAAAATTACAAAATTTATACGAAATATTTGTAATTATTTATTGTTTTAAACACTAAAGTTATCGCTGGATGGATGATTATAAAAACAAGAACATTTACTTCTAATTTTGAGTACTTTCAAAACCTCTGTATTGTTTTCAAACTCTGGCCTAAAAATTTGTAAATTAAAATAAGTTTACTTTGTTTGTGCTTGCCAACTAGAAATGGGCTTAAAATAAGGAAACAGACATAAACTTTATCATCATTTTTCGGCTTTTCATCTATATTTGGTGATTTAGCAAAGAAGTTTTGAATTGCTAAAACGGATGGATATATTTGCTATAATTCGAAGCCTCGTTTCAGAACAGTCACATACGTTTAGAAATTCCTAGTGTAATAAATTATTACCTATTCTTATAACTTATTTTTTATAAGACTTGTACGGGAATCAAAAGTTCAGAGGGAAAAAATATTGATTTGAAATTCTTTGAAATACGTTTAGGCAAAATTATAGTAAATTAATCTACTGCCACAGTAGTTTCAGCTGTGCTACTCTACCAGGAAGGTCATGTCAAGATGTAATAGTATAGTTTAGCACCAGATATTTGTGATTATATATCAAACTACCACAGTAGTTTCAGCTGTCCTACTCCACCAGGAAGGTCATGTCAAGATGTAATAGTATAGTTTAGCACCAGATATTTGTGATTATATATCAAAACTGCCACAGTAGTTTCAGCTGTGCCTACTCCACCAGGAAGGTCATGTCAAGATGTAATAGTATAATTTAGCACCAGATATTTGTGATTATATATCAAAACTGCCACAGTAGTTTCAGCTGTGCCTACTC